AAAAAAAAAAAACAATAATTGAACAAATGAACTCGTGAATGCAACATGGTCTCCAGTCCTAAGCAATTTATAGTTGAATGGGAGGTCAGACGAGAGAGCTGCGCTGTGGGAGAGAGATACACTGCGATCCAAGGGGGAGGGGGTGAACACGTTCATGGAGAAGGTGACACCATAAGTGAACCTTTGGGGGAAAAGAAGATGAGAGAGTGGATGGCAAAGGTGCTCTGGGTGGTATGAGTTTCCATGGAGCACAAGCAAAGGTGGGAGAGAATTGAATACTGAGGACGTGAGGATGTCCCATGACACTGGATGCATCAGTCCATTCAGTGTTTCTATAAAAGAACACCTAATACTGGGTAATTTATAAAGAAAAGCTGCAGAACCATGAGACACAGGTTCTGCAGGCTGTACAAGAACCATGGCCCCAGTGTCTGCTCCTGGTGCAAGCTTCAGGGAGCCTTCCCTAGAGGCAGAAGGGGAGCAGTCAGATGCTGTGACCAGGGTGGGAGCAGGAAAGCAAGGACAACAGCATTAAACAGTCAGCTCGCATGTGGACTAGCAGAGCAAGAACTCACTGCCTTAGGGAGGCACCAGGCCATTCATGGGGGGCCCCCCCGACCCCGATACCCCACCAGCCCCCACTTCAACACTGGAGAGCAGATTTTAGCATAAAGTTCAGAAGAGCGTGTTTAACATTGACCAAGTTATATTTTAACTTACACTAATTTTGAGCCTGGGACCTTGTGAAGCATATGTAACTCCCATGTTACTTGACCTGTACTATGTGACCTGGCAATTCAGGTCATAAACTCATCCTAGAAAAAGTGCTGCATACCTCATTGCTGAGTATTACTTATGTGGTGATCCTATCATTGTGCAGGGTCTGACACTTAAGTTTGCAAACTTGCTAAGCGAGGTTTCATGACCTTGGTAGATCAGTGTCTCACAACTGTGCTCCTGTTGACATGTAGCGGTGTCTTGCTGAGTGGCATTCATTGTTGTTGTATGTTTTTGTGTGCCATATGACAACAGCTCTGATGGCCTTTCCAGAAAAAGAGTTCCAAACTAGCTTTAAAGGGTGGACTAGACACTGGTATCAATGCACAGCTACCTAAGGGCAACACTAGGATGAATTCATATGCTTCACAAGGCGCTAGGCTCAAATATTCAGCAGTGAGGTATGCAGCACTTTTTATAGGATGAGTTCACAAACTTGTCAGATCTCACATAACCTAATGAAACACTGTGGCCCCAAGGAAAAGAACTTTTTTCTAGTATGGCCATCAATATTTTAGAGAAAGGAGGTGGAGGCCCTAAAAAGGGTCTTGACTATGTGTCAGCAGTTCAGATGTTTGAAGAGGTGAGCAGTTGGACCTATCTTCACACAGCATGGCAGTGATGTGAAGGGTGAGTTACAGGGAGAAATGGCCATGGGCGTGGGCCAGAGCCTGTGTAGCAGTAGCAGTGAAAAGTGGATGCATCTCAGAGACAGGATAAGGAGGCAGTGTGGTGGCAGAGGAGACACACTTGGCCAGCAATCAGACGTGGAAGAGGAGGTGCAGAACGAGTCCAGCTTTGAACATGGTGGCTCAGAGGAGCAAACAAACACCAGCATGGTGTCGTAGTTTGAGTGCCTGTTATTCCATATCTGAGGGCCCTAAGTAAGTGGCACGTGATAAAAGGTGTTTACTTGTTCTATTTGAAGGTTACTATTTTGTTTTGAAGGAGAAACTAGTTGTCTTTAAATTTTGAACAGGTTGCTAGAACTCGGCACGTGCAAGCAGAAAGCTACTTGGTGTACAGCATCATGAGCAGCGGCGAGATCGAGTGCAGCAACACCCTGGAGGACGAGCTGGACCAGGCCCTGCCCAGCCAGGCCTTCATTTATCGCCCAGTCCGACAGCGTGTGTACTCACTTTTACTGGGGGACTGTAAAGGTGAGAATTGGTTGGTCTTTTTTTCTTATGGTTCCATTTGGAGTTGAATTCTGAGAAACTGGCTAGATGAAGCAGAATACATTCTTTGAGGACTCAGAGGCAATTAAGTAGGATTTCGTTTTCTATGTCAAATATGTAATTGAGAATGCCACTGGCATCTGTAACAATTTATATGTGACCCATGGGATGTAGATGAATTAGCAAGCAGCTGGTCAGCATTCATTAAAAAAAGAATCCCTGGTTTCTATAAAATGTTATATTTTATGCCTTAAAAGGATTTGTGCTTTTTAAAAAAATGTCAAAACTCTTACTGTAGGATTATAGGTTATGCTTATTATTAGGAGACAATGTCTACTTAGTCTTACCTCAAAAGGTGATTTTCATGAAATAATTTTACAAAATCTAGTATATCACTTAAAATAGAAACACAGTTTTTATTTATAGTTTTGTAATTATGTTTACGTTTTTCCCATCTTTATTTGCTTTGTGCACTTAGCAGCCAGAGTAGGGCGACGACCCTCAGTGAGGTAACCAGTAAAAATGAGAGGACTTCAACACCAAGTGCAAAGTCCTCAGAGCCTGTCGCTCACTGTTAGGAAATAGTTTGGGGGTGCTTGACCGTGTTGGTGAGCACTTCTCCTGAGAGACCAGTGATGCTTCGTCCTGAGTGGCCTCTTCCATTAGGCCCTGCTCATCTCAGACAGAGGCAGACCTTGGGTGCTTTATGGTCAGATTTGAGAATGTTTGATAACAAACCCCACCTGTCCCACTGTCAGGGCAGAGGTAGATGAGTGGGATGCTGGTAAGAGACTGTTGGTGGCCCATTTGCCTAAATAACATTTTCAAATGTGAATGTTATTATTATATTACTGTATTATTCTAGAAAATATATATTTACATAATCTAAAAGTGGTGGTGGAATCGTCACTATTTGGGGGACCTACGGGTAGTGGGATTCTTTGGATCTCATTTGTGTTAGATCCTGTGGTGCCATCCGGTGTGTATGGCCTTCTCCTGTGTGACCTAAAGAAGAGTGAAAAAGATGTGTGAGCTGATCTGAAAACAAATCAGAGAAACTGTGGAATAGAATCTGAGGCCAAATATATTTGGCTTTTTTCTTATTTGGCTCTCTGCCAATACTTAACATGATTGTTCATTGATTTTTAGAAAAGATATCTTTCTTTATGAAAAGGTTTTTACATTATAGAATAATATTTACCTGTTCAGGCTGCTTCATTAAATGAGATTAAACTATATAAGCTTCACTAACTTAGATCTCATACTTTGTTAATGGAATTTATTTATAGCCATATAGATAACTTTATTACATAGTCACATAGGAAGAAGTGGTCAAATTGGACTTGTCTTCATAATTGATCTTTAGTTCCTCTGTTTCCCTTCAACTTTGGCCTTTTATATGAAGTTTGCATTATTAGGATATGAAAATAAAATGCTATTGCTGATTTATTTATGGTGATTATAATGAAATATATTTGATATTATTTGCTTGTCTGTATTGTTCTATGTGTAGTTGAAAATGGTGTATATTCTGTAGTTGTTAAGTGTAGTGTTCTGTAAATGTCAGTCGTGTTAATAGGGTTGTTCAAGGCTGGGCTCAGTGACTCACACCTGTAATCTTAGCATTCTGGGAGGCCAAGGCAGGTAGATTGCTTGAGCTCATGAGTTTGAGACCAGTCTAAGTAAAAGCGAGACCTTGGCTCTACTAAAAATAGGAAAAAAAAAATTGAGGCAAGAGGATAACTTGAGTCTAAGAGTTGGAGGTTGCTATGAGCTATGATGCTAAAGCACTCTACCCAAGGTAATAGCTTAAGACTGTTTTTTTTTCTTTTTAAGACTGTCTTAAAAAAGACAGGGTGGTTCAAGTCTTTTGCCGACTTTCTGTTTACTTATTTCTGAGAGTGTTAAAATCTCCCCTTACTATTGTGGTTTTGTCTGTTTATTCCTTTAGTTCTGTTAGTTTTTTACTGGTGGTGTTTTGAAGCTCTTTTGTTCGGTTTATATACATTATTGAAGATTGTAGTGCTTTTTAATGAATTGATGGTTTTAACATGAGATTTCTCATTTCTTGGTCATCAATTCCTTGTCCTAAAGTTGACTTTGTCTTAAACATGCACTCCAGTTTTCTCCATGTTAGTGACTATATGATATGTCTTTTTTTTCTATCTCTTGACTTTTAAACTTTATTTTTTTACAGTTTAAGTGATTTTCTTTTAAATAGCATGTTCAGCATCTTTTAATTGAAGCATCTGAGACCATTTATATTTAATGCATTATTGACAGAATTGGGTTTTAATATTCCATTTTTGTTCTTTGCTCTGAATTTTTTTACCCTTTTTTTCTAATTTTCCTGACTTCTTTTGAATTAATTGAATAATTTTTGTAATAGTATTTTGTTTTGTGTCCTCATTTGGCTGATTTGATTTACCTTTCTTAAAGTTTTTAATTTGAAACAATCATAGACTCACAGGGAGTTGCAAAACTAACACAGATTTCCATGTAGACTTTACCCAACTTCCTCCAAGTATGACATCTTTTAGAACTGTGGTGCAATATCAAAGACAGGAAATAAACATTGATGCAATAATGTTAATTTATTAATTTTATCTTTTTTTGCATGAATGCGAGTATGTGTGTGTGTGTGTAAAGTTCTGTGTTGTTTTATCCCATGCAGAGATTCCTGTAACTACTGCCACAATCAAGTTAAAGAGGAATATAAAGGAATGTTATATATTATATATAAAGGGATTCCCTCCTGCTGTTCTTTTGTTCTTCCCCGAGGCTCTGTCCTCTGGCTACTGCTAATCTGTTCTGCATCTCTATTTTTGTTCCTTTTGAGAATGTTACAATGGAAGCCTGTAATATGTCACTGTTAGAAATTGTATGTGTATTATGCATATATCTTAAGCTAGTGTTTTTCAACCTTTTTTATCTCATGGCCAAAAACACCATCACTAAGACAGATGTGTCTTGAGAGAGGTGGCAGCTTTCACCTTGGCAGCAGTGAGTTGATCCTGAGCACACGTCGGAGGAGCTGTGCACCAGCTCTGTGCAGGCCTCCTGCTCCCTGGAGTGCTGTGACATTTGACTTTTCTGAGCCCGTACAAGGCAGGCATCTGGGGATGGGTGGGAAGAGAGCAGCTTTGTGGGGGGGGGGGGAGAAGGAGGGGAGGACCAGGATGAGGCTGAGGTTGGTAAGGAGGGGCTAGACACACGGGGTTACAGTAGGCTGGGGGATTCCACAGCCAAGAAAAGCCATGTACTGTGGGCAGAAGCCAGCAGGATTGCAGGGGTGGGGAGCAGGTGAAGCTGTTGCCAGGGAGCAACTCTAAAGGTGGGAGGGCAGCAGGGGCATCCAGGAGCCTGAGCACATTAGGGGCAGGCTGGTGGACAGGGGTCACAGGGCTATAGCAAGTGAGGGCACACGTGGGTATGGTGAGGAGGGAAAAGGGGGAATTGCTTGGGTGATGGCTGCAGACAGGCTGAATGGGGTACTGAGTGTCTCTGCTCACAGCAGCTTGCTGAGTCTGGTAATGGAACTGAAGTCAAATTGAACTTTTATAGCAATTAATAATCCAACATACAGAAATGCCTTTGTTCTAGATTATTTTTACCAACTTTTGAATAGTCTAATATAATAATAGTTTTGTTAGTTATTTAAAACAGTGAGTTCAAGACCAGAAAGGATTCTCATTCTGGCCTTTTGTCTGTAAATGTTTTCTGAGACCATGGGAGGGCAAGATGGAAGGGGTGAAAAGTGGTGAGTGGTAGACTCCACTCCCATTTAGTTGTTCACTTACCCAGACTGTACTAGAAGTTACAGCTCTTGTTGGAATGAATGGACTGCCCTCAACTTGGAGGGCAGGAACCCCAGGTCACGGTGCTCATGCAGAGTGGGGCTGCCACACGTGAGCCTGTGGACACATTTTCTCATGCACCTGCTGACCTGTCTGTCTTTGTTCAGATGGCACCAGCACGTGCCCAGCCGTGAAGGAGTGGTTTGTGTACCCTGGGAACCCGCTGCGGCACCCAGACCTCGTCAGGCCTCTGCAGATGACTGTTCCAGGTACAGCTTATTTAAGGAAGCTGCTCGTCTCCCATTGTCAGTTTGAGAATGGGTCAGCTGTGTATGCATCTTTTTCTGTATACTGATTTTTATCCATACCCTCGGCCCAGGATGAATGTGTCCATCTCATGAAGTCCTAAAGTAATGGCAGAAATGACCTTGTAGTGGATTGACCCTCAGCAGGCCCAGGGTCACAGTGATGGGGAGAAGGAAAAGACACAGGGCAGCTGTGGTCAGTCTAGGCCCAGACACCCACTGGCCTCTGAGCAGGTGCCCCTGCTTTGGCAGAGTGCATTTCTGACCTGTCAGTCCTTGTTTGCCCCCCTGCTGAGTGTGTGTTCTGATGGGTTGTGGAGCTGGGAACAGTCACATTTCCATGGTGGCATCTCACAACATGGTGAGAGTAACTGGCATCAGTCTGGAGAGTAGCCTTTCTTACTATGAGTCTCAGCATCGGACAGAAGCCAAGGGCTTACACCCTCAGGGCTGTGCTCCAGACAGGTAAGGAGGAGGCTGAATTTCAGGGTTTATTTTTAGTGGCTACATTATTTTTTCAGAGAACACATATTTTTCTAAAATTTCTCTAGTCTGTGTTCATATGCATTAAATTCTCTGGTGTCACTACATTTTCCATCACATGAGCGTATAGTTTACCAAATATGGATCTGAGTACTGCAAATTGTTTTTTTAAATAAATGGAATTGTGTTGAGAGAGAACTTGAGAAAACTGATTATAGATATTTTCTTATTCTGTCAATCAGTGATAGACTCAAAGCTAGTATTACAAAAACAAATTAAAATTCATGGACATTTGTTTTTATAGCAAAAAATATTTTTTAAAAGATAGCCAAAATAATTTTCTGATAATTTTTTTTGTGTGTATGTAACTTTCATCTTACAGTAATCTTTCCAAAAATAATCTGGAAGTCCAGCTTTGGTGGCTCACGCCTGTAATCCTGGTACTCTGGGTGCCCAGGGCAGGTAGACTGCTTGAGTTCAGAAGTTCGAGGCCAGACCTAAGCAAGAGCAAGACCCCATCTCTACTAAAAATAGAAAAAATTATCCAGGTGTTGTGACAGGAACATGTCATCCCAGTTAACTCAGGAGGCTAAGGCAAGAGGAAAACTTGAACTCAAGAGTTTGAGGTTGCTGTGAACTATGAGCTAGCTACCTGGGGGAACAGTGTGAGACTCTGACTCAAAAAAGAAAAAAAAGGATAAAATAATCAGGACAAGGTTTATTATACCTTTTTTTATGGTTTGAATTAAAGAGTATATTTGGCTATTCATAACTGTACCAAGAGCTAATTTCAAAGGCTGTGCTATAAAATGTTTTAATAAACCCTAGGAATTGTGTATGAGGCTCAGGGAAACCCTGCCCTGGCACTCTAGGCAGGGAGGCTTACGTGTGCAGGAGCACAGACCATGCACCAGTGTCCTGCCCTGGAAGGAAGTTCAGATGCCTGTGTTAGATGTCCACAGCCAATAAACTAGAACAAGATTTGAATTTTATTCAGATGATTTAGATGGCTACTCTCTTTTTTTATACTCATGGTTTTTTATTTGCGTTTTGAGACAGTCTCATTCTGTCATTTTGGGTAGAGTGCCGTTGCATCATAGTTCACAGTAACCTCAAACTCCTGACCTCAAGCGATCCTCCTGCCTTAGGCTCCCAAGTAACTGGGACTACAAGTACCCACCACTACTTTTTTCTTATTTTTATTAGAGACGGGGTCTCATTCTTGCTTATGCTAGTTTTGAACTCCTGAGCTCAAGTGATCCACCCGCCTTGGCCTCCCAAAGTGTTGGGATTACAGGTGGGAGCCACTGAGCCCGGCCAGTGTTTATATTACAAGAAGACAAGATTTTAAAATTTATTTGCTTTTCAATATCTGTGAGGAGAATTGTCAAATAATTTTAGACTAAAGTGGAAGATAGATCATCCAGCTTCCTGTCATAGGCATTCTCCTAACACTGCTCGAGAAGCAGGGGTCCTGCCGCCAGGCCCTCCACTCCTCCTGGCAGGAGACCTGTTACGTGTTCTGCTACATTATTAGAGCTAGTTCTCCCCAAGTCAGACAAAGGACAGCCATAGCTGATGTGCTTGCTGTTCTAAGACAATTTTAATTAGGTCAATCCCATCAATGCTGCATTTTCAGTAAATCTCTCAATATAGTAACTAGTGTTCTTTCTAAAAAACTTTTTCCTCTAACAATACTTAATGGTTTAATGCTTTCTTAAATTATAGAAATAAAAAGATATCAGATATTTTCAACAAAATGGAAGTGAAGCAGAAGGATTGCAAACAAAATTGTAGATATTACTTAAAAATTAGAAAGGGGAAAGAGTGAAAGTTGAGCAGCCAAGGGAGCAGAGAAAGAAATCTCATTATTGGTTAGTGTGGTCTACATGTTTATAGCCCTCAAAATTTATACGTTGAAAACCCATTCACCATTGTGATGTTGTTGAGAGAATGGGGCCTTAGCAAGGTGACCAGATGTCACTTGTGGCCTCAGGAAGAGGCCCTGGAGAGCTGACTCCTGTCTTCTACCTTGGGAAGACTTGGCCCAGGCACCAGCCAGCCCCTAGGACATCAGGAAACAGATTTATCTCGTTGTAAGATACCCAGACTATGGTGTTACATTATACCAGCCCAAACAGACCAAGGACTAGGCTGTTTTATTTAGGGAGCTCTTTGTATGCATATACTCCTGCCTGCTCCTCCTCAGGTCAGGAGACTCCTGGGCCTGTGTGTGCACATGGGGGATGTGTGTGTGCGTGTGCACGCATGTGGGGTGTGTGTCCTTACTCCTCAGCATATCATGAAGGTCCTGGGGTTGTGTGTGTACATGTGCCCCTTCCCACTTGTTTACATGCCTTGGTGCTCCCCATATACCCCCTGCTGTGCTCCACTCTGTACTAGTGGGTCTGGGGCCATTGAAGGAGCCTCTCTTGTCTCCAGACTAGAGATTCTTTTTCAGAAAGATGGTGGTAACTTTTTCTCTTTTTCAGTGTCACATTTTCGTCTTTAGGATCATATCCTCATTTTTAAAATGGAGGAAAGCTTATTGCACACATCTAATTGGTAATTTGTCTATCTTGAATGAATTTTTCAAGTATTCATGATCAATAAGTGAGTTTGGTATTCCTTGGCCATGTACATTTGACTCACCAGAAACTTGGAGCATATCTCAGATGACTGTTGAAAAGGAGCTGTAATTTGTATTTGAGTCATTCTGTCCTTTGTTATTAAACAATTGTTAGTAGTATCTTGTTTCTCCTCCTCTTGTTCATACTGTTGATGGTTTTCATTTTGACACTTGGTTCTCAACCTGTGGGTCACAACCCACAGGAACTGTGTTAAAGGCTCACAGCATTAGGAAGGTTGAGAACCACTGGTCTAGACCAGGGGTCCTCAAACTTTTTAAACAGGGGGCCAGTTCACTGGCCCTCAGACTGTTGGAGGGCCGGACTGCCGGCCCTGGGACAAGTCGGCTGCTAAGCAGGACAGGCAGTGGCGGCAATAACACTTGGCAGACTGGATAAATGTCCTAGGCAGGCCGAATGTGGCTTGTGGGCTGTAGTTTGAGGACACCTGGTCTAGACAATCTTGAAGATTTCTGTGAGTGGAGGAAAAAAACCTGTGTGTGCACACACGCCCTGAGTGAGGTGCTGATGTGACTGCCTCTGTGTGTGTGTGCGCATGCGCATGCGTGCATGCTTTGAGGAGCAGCTGGTATGACTGCTTGTATGTGTGTGCACATGTGTGTCTGAGTTTGTGGGATATTTAGACCCTAGCCAATCTTGTACTTCAGGGTATATTTCCCAGCAAACTCAGCCTATCATAAAATCCCAGCTGCAGAGAGTAATAGGAGGCGTCACCAGTCACAGGTAGATGTGCCCGTTGGACAGGGGCACCTTTTAATTATCAGAAAGTGGGGGCGTTAGAATTGCCCTTTGTCTACAGTGCTGTGTGTCTTCGTCCAAGCTCATCTACAGTTTGTTGTGATTTAAGTAGATAAAATTTTTTCTTTAGATTTTAACAATTTGAGTGTATATACAGAGGGTGCCAAAAAAATTATATATACATTTTCAGCAAGGAAGGATTGAATTTTATGATACCCAAATCCCTTTTAACTTCTACAATTATAAGGGTTATTCAGCATTATTTTCCTTTATTAAAATGTGTTTATATATTTTTGGTACCCTCTATATAAAATATAGAAATGAAACACTAAAAATTACATTTCAGAAATCTCTAATAGCTTTAGAGAAGCACATTCCAAAGCATAGGGTCCATTGATGACTTGCATCCAAGTCTTCCATTTGTTACAATGTAGACTTCCAGCCACTTAATACCTGTCAAATCAGAATTCCTATGTACAGATCCCAGGACAATGTATTTTTATCATTGCAATCTCTGTAGCTGATTCCTCTGCAAAGGAAAGTTTGAAAACCATTAGTTGAGGGATGTAAGGAGCAAACTAAAGGGGCAGGTTGATGGGGCCTCCACCAGGTGTGTGCCATGGCCGTGGTGTCAGTGTGGCTCTGATTTGCTACTGCACAGAATAACGCAACATGGACTTTGTTTTTTTTAACTAGGGGGAACACCTAGTTTGAAAATACTGTGGCTGAACCAGGAGCCAGAGGTGCAGGCCCGACGCTTGGACACACTTCTGGCCTGTTTCAACCTGTCCTCCTGCAGGGAAGAGCTGCAGGCCGTGGAGAGCCCGTTGGCAGCTCTGTGCTGCCTCCTCATCTACCTTTTTGTCCAGGTAACTCAAGTGCTGAGGGACTGTGCAGTGGGGACCCAGGGCTGCTCCTTGCTTGTTCTTCTCCAATATCTGTCTCATAGAATAGTGTCAGTCCTTTGAGATGCTCTATAAATAAAAAGGAGGCTCTTTGGTGAAATACACTTGAGAAATCTGCCCATGATATTAGACTTGTGACTGGTACATGTGTGAGCACTAGAGGCTTGGGAGCCCTGGCAAGTGGAGGAACCTGCGTTAGCTTTGACTGAACTTCCTTTCCTGGGGAGAACCCATGCGGTGGTTGGGTTGGTGGCCCCTTGCTGGGAGGTGGTGCAGTGCTGAGGCTGCACTGTCACACTCTGGACAACAGGGACAACAGGAAGGTTGTTTTTGCCAAAGTGCCTGACGAAATGTCTGCTGAGGTTGCGGTCAGCATCATTGTCAGTGTCCCAGGCAGCTGGACCCGCCCACTGAGGCTGCTGTTGAGATTACAGCGCCAGAGCCTTCATCTTAGTGTCACTCAACAGGTTGGGCTGTTTTTTCCATTTGTTTTACACTTAGTTTATGTATGAAAATCTTGAAGTTCAGTTAAAAGATTCCCCTTTTTAAATGATTTTCTATATCCATGGTAGTGTTGGATACCTTAGTAACAGAAGGTCTCCCTGGGGTGAGTAATAGACCTCTCTCTGAGATGTCTCCTCCCCACCCTGTCCCAGTTCTGTGGTTTAGGGTGATTTTTTGTCTCACTGTTGACAAGACACCTGCTGCTGCCACCCTTGTAGATGTTCTCCTAAACTCTGACCCCTCTGATCCATCTGTTTAGCTCCGTGATGGATCTGTGTGAGCATAACTGCTAATTTTCATTGCCTGGAATAGAAAGTTATTTTGTTCTTACCCCTGAATTTATGCACTATTAATTGTCTTTAAGACAATTACTCTTCCTGTGAAGTTACATCCCAGGGAACCTTGCTCTGTTTCTCCTCCTGAGTGTCCTCTTGGCTTTGTGCATTCTGCAGCTTGGTCTCCAGTTTGCATTTTGTAAAAATGTGGTTAAAGGGCTCTTAGAGATTTCATTGCTTCATTATTGGTTTCACATACATCAGTGTAAACTTTAGGCTTTGCATTACTGTTTTGAATAGAATACTTCTTTGTACGAGCTTAGCAAAGCATAAATTAAGATGGCAGAAATTATTTAATATTTGTAAAAACATTTCTTTTGCTATTACATATTAAATATGCATGCATGTATTGTCAGTTAATATTTTCTGCCCATTATTTATGAATGTTCCAGGTGTCTTGGTTGAAGCTGAGCCACAGTGGGAAGTGGTAGGTAGCCAGTAACTTGAGTTTTGTTCTCAGTGCTATGTGTGCATAGCCACAGGGACGCCTTGTGTCAGCTCTGGGACCTCCATGTGGACATGTTTCTCTAGCAGTCCCTATGGTTGTACAGCCTGTGGGGTCAGTGGTCAGCAAGGCTCTGCTCAGCTTCACAGCACCTGCTGCTGTGAAACCCACGTCAGACAGGAGAGCCCTGTTGATGTGAACTGGTAGCAAGGCAAGCATCAAGAAGAAAATTTCCACTTTCCTTTTTTCCTATTAATAATGAGCTTTTAAAGAAAGTTTTTTTCAGTGTAGGTCAGCATGAGTAGATTCAGTGACATGACTTTAAAGGAGATGTTAAAACTGGAATTTTTTTTTTTTTTTTTTGCAGTTTTTGGCTGGGGCCAGGTTTGAACCCACCACCTCCAGTATATGGGGCTGGCGCCCGACTCCTTGAGCCACAGGTGCCACCCTGCCCTGGAACTTTTTTAAATTAGAAAACAACAGATCAGTAATAACCATTAAATTAAGAAGGTATACTGTATTATTCATGGAGATAATTCTCAAAATTTATAAAGCAGAAAGATAAATTTATAAAAATGTTATAATTTGATACAGTTAAGCCTAATTATATGTTTTGATATGCAATATGGGATTTAAAAAATTGCTACTGTTCAATGTACACAAACTGCAGAGAAGCTAAATACATTTACGCTTGGTGTTCTTGAAGAGCGGGTTCAAGGAACCCAAGTGCACTGTGTTCTGTGCACGTGCAGGTCTGCCTCTGGCCTGCAGATCTGTTTGGAGACTAGTCCTCTCTTCACAGAATGGTTCACATCTCGTGAATACTGGATTTCCCATCCAACTTGGGTTGAAGAAAGTCTGCATATAAATGGACCTGCCCAGTTCAATGCCATGTTGTTCAAGGATCAAATGTATCCTCATTCACTTAATGACAGCAACAAAAGATTCTATTAAGATTTAGCTGAGAAAATACTCTGGAAGCGTAAGTTTACATCATAAAAAAGTACATATTTCATATAATCTGTAGGTAGAACAAATACTTTATGATAATATATACTTTATAATGTATATTACTGAATGATATCCATTATGTGAAATTCTAAAAAGTTGGGGTATAGTACTAAGAGTCTTGGCAACCTCTGTTTTAGTTTTTAGTTTTGCTGATTACAAAAAACGACATAGTGTGAAATTGGTTAACTGAACAAACATGACATAAAATAGTTATTCTTTTCTTGTAGTTGGTATTTTAAGATCAGCATTCTTCCAGTGTTACTAAAGTAAGATGTGGGATTATATGCCACACCCTCACTCTGCAGGGAGGTGGAGCATGTGGGTTTCAGAAAGCACTTACTTATGCTGGGTCTCACTTCTAAGATTTGGGTATTTTTTCTTGATCCTAGGTATTGTGCATTTGAGATTTTTTTTCCCCAAAAAAATAATTAGAATGCCTATCATCTATACAAAGGGTGGCACCCACCTGTGCAGCAGAGTGCACCGGGGGAGGACAGGGTCAGTAGGGAGGTCAGCCAGGTTTCAGCAGCAGTCGGCATCTCTAAGTGTATCCATGTAGTAAGCAGGAGTCTATAGTGAACAGTTGTTCTGATTTAACACTAGGTTGTTTTTATCAGAAATAGACACATTAGGTATTTTTATTGTCCAGAAAGAGTCATTGAAATTGTTATTGGTGAGTTCGTTGTTTTTCTATGTCCTTTTCCTCAAGCCATTCCTTGCCACAGGACATGCTTGTCTGTGGGAACCGGCCCCACGGTCTTGTGATGGTGGTGGGTTGGGTGGGATTGTTCACTAAGTGGCACCACAGTGCTCTCATCTAGGTGGCTAGACATGCCCGACGAGTAGGGAAGTCTTGGTCTTGCAGCAGAGTGAGGCAAGAGGTGGCTGTGGCCACCATCTGATGTTCAGATGTCCACAGCTGCCTCAAGACCCAGCCATTCTCAGTCTTCCTCTTTCCTTTTTTTCCTTTTTTTCCCCTCCTGTCCACCTCCCTCCCTCCCTCTTTATTTCAAGGTAGAGTCTGTTTCTGTCATCCTGGCTAGAATACAGTGGTGTCATCATAGCTTACTGCAGTCACAAACTCCTGAGCTCAAGGAGTCCTCCCACCTGGGTCTCCCAGAGTGCTGGATTTACAGGAGTGAGCCACCACTTCCCGCTGCACCTTTCTCTGGTTTCTCGACACTTTTGTTAGATCTGTGTGTCCCACAGTGGGCAATGCTTCTGTGGGTTCTTATTTACTTTAAGCTGGGACCTGAGGACACCTGTCAGGGTAGAGGGAGATAGGCATTGGCCCGGTTCAACCTGGCTATGGGTGCTCCCTGACCAGAAACCCCCGAGCTGTCCACTCTGTGCACTTGGTGCCAAAATGATGGCTTATGTTGCTGTCCACTTGGATTTGGGTGGCACCTTCTGATCATTCCCAGATGTTATGGAGATTTCTACCTTGCTGAAGAGTACCTTTACTAGAGTCAGGTTCCCCTGTTGATTTTGGCCTGTGAGTTATATGCACAGCTGAGGACACCGTGTAGAGAGCTTCACAGCCAGGGGCCAACAATGGTGAGGAAGAGGCTCTGCTTTCCTCAGCACATGTCCTTTGCTGCCGGGATCAGCTGAACCATGTGCGTGCCTGTGTGTGTGTGTGCATCTGTGCCTGTGTGTGCCCCTATTCTCTCTGTACACATGGACCTATGTATCTCTGCCCATGTGTGCACATGTGTCTGTGTATGCACACGTGTGCCTGTGTACCCCTCTATGGGCCTGCGTGTGCCTGTGATGCACGTGTGTACCTCTGTGCACACGTGATGCCTGCATGTGTACCTCTGTGTGCCTGTGTATACCTATTTGCCTCTTGTATGCACGTGTGTGCCTGTGTGTTCATATGTGTGCTTGTGTGTACTGTTGTGTGACTCTGTGTGTGCACACGTGTGCACACATGTGCCTTTGTGTACCTCTGTGTGCCCACATATGCACATGTGTGCCTGTGCGTCTGTGTGACATGCACCCACAATTAGCAATCAGGATCACCTAACACTGTACTTCCTCTGTGTCTTACAGGTAGACACCCTTTGCCTGGAGGATTTACACGCATTCATTGCCCAAGCCCTGTGCCTCCAAGGAAAGTCAACTGCACAGCTGATAAACTTACAGGTACAGTCTTGATCCAAGACAAGGGGCAGTGAGCAGAGGGTCAGCATTCCTTCCAGCCTCCTCTTTCCATCATAGTTGATGCTTCACAGGTAGATTAGGTCTTTTCATAACATAGCAGCTTGTCTTGGCTCTTCTGCAGCTCAGCAACAAGTGACAGGATCAGGTGTTGACAAGCACTGCCTTAGTTTCAGGCTGAGAGGCTTGTAGTTCTCAGCGCTGCCTCCATAGTCTCATAATTAGGAGAGAGTCATTTACTCAATTATTTATAAGCCTTGCCAAGTTCTGCTATTAGCAGTCTGGACCCATTCTGCCTGCCTGCCTGTTCTGTTCCTAGGCCTAACCTCCTAGCTACCCTGGTGACCCTCAAGGGCCCCGCACACCTTCTTGGGTATCCTCTTTTAGTGCTGTGTACACAGTGAGTGATCAGTGCAGGGGTTATGTAAGGAGAAGGTGCACTCCAACCAGAAAATGCATCCTCCATGTTGTTCTATTCAAACATTGCGGGGAAGAGTGTTTATTCCTTTAATCTTAGCAAATGGCCTCTCTCAGTCAGCTCTGGGACTCTCAGCTGCACCCTTGAGATCTGGGCATTGGTTATTTCCTGTTGGAAAATTCAAAGGTCAGGTCACTTATGGATAGAATCTTAAAGCTTTGCTTTACAAATGCTATTTGGTAATGATAATTTTTTAGCTTTATCCATAGCTTCTATTTTTTGAATTCATTTTTTATATTTGTCTTCCTAGTGAACAAAACTAATAAATTTCATTTGTAAGTGACCTTTTACTTTAACCTCAGAACTCTTGCATACTAGGTTTAATCCATAATTAATTGTTATAGCAGTCCAATTAAATGAACGTCAGATCTTTTTTTATTAGAAATAACAAAAGCTAGGGTGGTGCCTATGGCTCAAAGGAGTAGGGCGCTGGCCCCATATGCCAGAGGTGGCGGATTCAAATCCAGCCCCAGCCAAAACTGCAAAAAAATATATATATATCAAAAGCTGTTAAAAAACTATTTTTTTAAAGTGGTCTTTTTTTACCTCCATTAAACAAAATAGAATCTCAAAAAGTAGATTTTGCATTGTTAGTAGTTAATACTAATTCCTCCTCCAGACCTGGGGATCTGCCCACTGCCACCCTCTTGGCCCTGGTTGGATCTACCATCAGCCATGGCTTTCCTGGTGTGGCTGAGCTGCTTCCATTACATCTGAGGACTCCACCCCCCTAGGTCCACTCTCTTCTTCCCTGTCGGTAGAATTAAACCAACAGACAGAGGTGGAAAGGGTCTTTAAGCTCCTGTCCTCTCATCCTGAGGAGATGTGGACAGCAAACAGTGGAGTTGGGGAGTTTGGGTATTTGGGTTTGTCTGGACCTTCTATGTGATCTTGAGCAACTTAGTAAGACCAAGTGACCAAACCTCTGAGCCTCAGGGTCCACAGATGGGCAGCATGGTTTTTCTCTGTGTTTCTCTCTCGAGACCCCCCCTCTTGACACCCCACAGACTCGCCACACTTGCCTCCTTGAAGCAGAGCCAGGTGCCTGCTACTCTGCTGTCTCCTGCAAAAAGAGCCACAGGAGAAGAACACCTTGAGCACCCACTCCCACGTCACCCTCCCACACAGAGGCTGCTTCCCCTTGACCATCTGCTGGCCAACTTGCTTGGTACCTACAAACGTAGCAGAGATTTTTTTTCCAGGGCCCTAGTTTTTCCCATTAAGGATGGAGCCTGTGCCAGCTATCACAGTCACTGGTGCCTGTGAACCCACTGGGCAGCTTTGCTCTCTGTGAAGCTGGCGGTCACTTGGGAAAGGTGCATCAACAAGGACAGAGCTTTGTCACAAGCCATGGCACCCCTTTATGTTCTAGGCAGGGACAGCTCCCAACGTCACAGCTCTTCTGGGCTCCTGTCTCAGTCTGTTCCATGTTGCTGGAAAGGGCTGACCCAGGCTGGGTCATTTATGAAAAGCTCACGGTTCTCCTGACTATATCAGAAGCATCCCCTCCTGGAGCAGACCTCAGGGGCCTTCCAGTCAGGGTGCAGGGGAGGGGGCACCAGGCTTCTTTAACACATTAACTGTCTCACTAAAGACAGGATGGGCCATGGTATTTTGGTATGAAAATAGAATAAAAACAAGGAAATTCAGACCAAAGAGCAGGCAAAAACTGGGTGTGCCGCAGAGTGGTGTGAGAACAGAGTGCCCTGGGACCCCTCCCAAGGCTGCCTGGCACACAACAGTGTTTACAGCCTTAACCATGGTCATTTTCAACCATATCAGAACAGCATATGCTTGGCCATGTAGCACTTCAGCCTGCTTATCTGTGTCATTATTGGGAAGAGTGGCCTGTAACAGACCTGTGGGTGATGGAGCCCGAAGCTCTGGGCTGTGCTGGTGGCACAGGTTTCTGTGGGAGAATGCTTGGAGGTTAAACCAGTTAAGGACAGATAGGCAGGAAGCATGCTGGCCCAGTGAGGCTCTGTTTGGTGATGTCTTGGGATGCTGTTTACAGGGATTAGGATTTGCTGCTTGAATGCTGAGATGGACACAAAGGCTTCTCCAGAGCAAAGCTGTGCAGTGAGGCTGTGAGCAAGTGGGCAGCTGTGAGGTGGCTGTCCTGGGTGCTGGACGCTGTTACCTTCTGGCCACTTCCCTGGCCAGAGTCTCCACCTGCTTCTAAGAAAGGGCCAGGTTTCTTGCACTGTCCTGAAAGGGGTGGCTAATAAGGGGGGTGGGTGGTCAGTCTCCCTGGCTGGGTCCTGCTTGAAGGTGATGGCACCAGAGAGCCCCCACTGTGGGTTGCAGGGGACAGCGTTTTTCTGTTTCCTGACAAATGGGTAATTTGTAAAAAAAAAAAAAAAAGTGAAGTACATAAAGCAGACAGTGTTGTGGCCACGGGCTGTGTCACAGTGTGGGGTACGTGCAGGCCACTCCTGGGCTGTTTTCCTCCATTTTAGTGCCATGTTCACCTTCTGAAGAGTGAGCCTACCATCCTATTCCTCTCACCACCAGTAGTTTTACAAACGTAGATGAAGTTACTTCTAAACTTGTTTTAAATTTTGAGAGTTCTGACTATAAATAAATAGAAATTTTTCTTTAGGCAATAGAAAAACTATAAATCTCATCAGTAGAAGTTTAAAATAAAATAATTCTATGCCATTGAATGTCCAGATCATATTTTATCTTGCCACAGATTAGTTAATGAAATGTTAAATCTGTGGTCCCTAAGCCCTATGGACCATTGCCAGTCTGTGGCCTCTTGGGAACCAGGCCTCGCAGCATGAGGTGAGCAGTGGGCAGGTCAGTGAGTCATGCTTCATCTGTATTTTCAGCCCTTCCCCACTGCCCAAGTCACCCCTGACCTCTGCCTCTTCTCAGGTCAGAGGCAGCAGTACATTCTCCCAGGATCATTAGCCCTGCTGTAAACTGCACATGTGAGGGGTCTAGGCTGACGAGCGTTAGGAGAACCTTATGCCTACTGACCTGAGTTGGAGCCAAGACGGGGATGCTGGTGCTGGGGAGCAGTTGCAGATACAGGAGGGTACCAGAGAGTTTTAACTGGACAGAGACTGCAGAGTCACAGACTCACATCAAAACCAGTCTTCCCAGCTTGGCGGCTCCCACCCAGTGGGCACAGTATGTGGGTACACAGCGCACTCCTGGGTGTAGGACACAGCCACAACTCTGATTTTTACCTGTCATATGTAAATTATATAACCTAATGGTTTGTACCCTCATTCATCGGAAATTTTAAAAAAGAATGAAGAAAAACAAATCCCTCCTCACCCCAGTCTGTGGGGAAATAGTTTTCTGTGAAACAGGTCTCTGGTACCAAAGAGGTTGGGTGCTGCTGTTTTGAATCACACTCTCAACTTTGCTTTATCAAAAATTTGAACCAGGGGTTGGCAAATCCATAGGCCAGAGTCAGCATATCACATACTTTCTGTAGGGCCTGGGAGCTAGGAATAGTTTTTGTATTTTTATAATGGTTAGGAATAAATCAAAAGAAGAAAAATATTTCATGATATAAAAATTATACAAAATGCAAATTTCTGTGCCCAGAATAGTTCTATTGGCACAGCTGTGCTCCGCTTTTGACGGCTACCTGCACTACCTCAGTGGAGTCGAAAGTTGTGGAAAACCACATGGCCTGAAAAGCCAATAAAACTTATACTGGGCCCTTTCTAGGAGAGCACGCTGACCTTCTCTGAAGCCACTGAGCTATTATGCCTCAGGCTCCCTGGTCTCTGCATTTGTGGCCTCCGTCTGTGTCCCCGCTGGGGCTGCACGCACTCAGAGTGGCAGTAATAATCTGTCCTATGAGTACAGCAGATTTTAGAAAATTTATAAGGCCTCTGTAATTAGTTTTGATATTATTCCTTTGCTGCATCTTGTTCTACTGCTAGAAAAGTGAAGGTCTGAAGAATGGTATGTCAGCAGCAGTTCTTGTGGTAGAGCTGGAGAGCAGCGAACCTTCCTACCACCCTTCCTTGATTCCCACCACTCAGCCATCACTAGCAAGGCACCCCAGGCTTCATGCCTTCTAGGGCCAATAGCTCTCTCTGCTCTCAGTCCCGTCCTGAGGGACATGGCATAGGACGCCGTTTCTGCAGACCTCCTCTTCCCAGCTTGGGGAGCCTTATTTCCATCTGACATAACTGTTACAGGTCAGAGTTCTTGAGGTTCCCAGGGGGATGCCACAGTTCCATCACTGACCCTATCATTGCCTGTGTGGTGTCTGCAGTGACCAGAAAGGGCAGGGCACAGGCAAGAACAGCAGAACTGCAGCTGACAACACAGGTGTAGCCCCCCATTCTTGTGAAGACAAGTCTCATGACACCACTGTGGACTTGTTTCTTTCACAGTTGGTTTCTTCCTCTAGCTTTACACTTACAGTTACGTAGTGTCTGGACGGTTGTGAGTCCCTAAGAGGCTTGGGTCCTATACCAGAATCTGCAGCCTTGAGCCCTGTGCCAGGTGGGGTTGTCCTTCCACGGGAAGAGAG